TCTTTCCTAAGGAACAGTGGAATAAATCAACATTTCCAGATCTGATCTACCATGAAGAGTAGTGGAGTAGATCCCTTTTTTCCAGATTTGATATTCCCTAAGGAATAGCTAAAGGAATCAACATTTTCAGATCTGATTTACCCTGAAGTGTAGTGGAACAAATCCTCTTTTTTTCACATTTGATCTTCCCAAAGGAGTAGGGTAACAAATCTACCTCAATTCAATCTTCTTTGAGGAATAGTGAAGTGAATCAAAGTTTCCAGATATGCTTTACCCTGAAGAGAAGCAGAGTAGATCCCCTTTTTCCAGATATGATCTTCCCTCAAGAGCATTGGAAAAATCTGCCTCGATTCAATCTACTATGAAAAATAGTGGAGTGAATCAACATTTCCAAATCTGATCTACCTGAAGAGCAGTGGAGCAGATCCCCTTTCAAATTTCATCTTCAAGAATTTCTCTTGAGATGTTGCACATTTCCAGTCTTAATTTAGACAATATCATATTGCAAAACACATAATTGATCAGACGAAAACAAATTGTCTCTTCGTCTTTGCCCTATTCTTGTAACACAAGAATAGACAAAGAATGGTAGCTGTTGACACCCGTTTTCATCCGGATGTTTCGCCTAATTATTGTTTAACTATTTATTTTTATTTTTATCTATATTATTATTTTATTTTATTTATTTCATTATTTATTTATTCTTACAGTCCAAATTGCAAACCCACAATTGGGCCCAATTACAAAGTCTGGCCTAAAGCAGTCAAAACTGTCTCCCAAACAACCCAATAGACCTAGTCCCTAACCCAATTAGGGTTTGTTGAAACCTAACTTTCCAGCAAGCATCCCACCCACCGTCGCCAGATTAAGCTCTACAACAGTCGTTCACTCCTTCCGTTCACACTACCTACTACCAAGAAACCAAAAACCACAGTCATCATCATTTCCCATCGAAACGGATTTTAATAGTGACAAATCAAAAAATAAAATTTCAATAGAAAATTAAAGCGGATCACCTACTCAATTGGGAGACCATTCCCTGCCACTATGCACAGTGAATAAAGAAGGCAGTAGAGTAGGTTATTCTCTAGATTTTTTTATGTTATTTTCTCTATAAAAAGTTGTGTATAAAACCCAAAAAAGAAAAAGATGTAAGGGGGTCTCCTAATTCAAAAAAGAAAATAGAAATTGTAAAATGGGGTTTCTCAATTCAAAAACGAAAAGGAAATGAAGTCTTCCCCGTTTTCAAAACAATGAATGGCATAAATTTTTTATTTTATTTTATTTTATAATTATTTTCGAAGTGAATAAAAAATAAATAGAAAAGAGAGGGATTTTACCTCTGAGTCGGAACATCACTAGCGTTCAGAGTCTTCATTGCCAAATCTGAATGGTGAGCAGAAGCATTTAGAGGAAGGGAACATCATACTTCAAGACTGGGTCGATCCAACGACGAAGATGGTAGATCAAAGCATGGGAAGCCTAAGAGTTTTTGGCTCTTTTCATGGGGTTGAAGGCCGAATCTCACAAAATGAAGCCCTGATCTGACCTAATAACTCCAGGGCGAGCAAACCCCTAAAGTTTAGTGATCAACGGCCACCAGAGATGGCGATAGCGCTCGTCACAAGTTTATGGAGAAATGTAGAGAGAAGGGAGAGAGTTTGAGGAAGGAGAGAGAGTTTGAGGAAGGGAAAATGAGGAAAAAACAAAAAGGGTATATATAACACAAATCAAATGTCGTCATTTAGGGCTATGACTGTGCGTTTTGGTATCCAATGGTCTAATCTCTTCCGCAACCCACCAAGTTTATCTAGCTTGCATTTTGGTCACTGTCATGCAATCTTTTCAAATTTAATTGTCCTTATTTTGCTATTTTTCATTTTTATTTCTAAGTATTAACTTTTTGATTTATTTTTTTCCAGGCCCCTCTACTTTACGCTCATTTTTCCACTTCGGTAATTGGTCCCCTATTTATTTTATTTCTTTAATTTTGTTCTCTGATTTGTGCTTGTTTTAATTTAGTCATTATTATTATTTTGGTTTATTTGAATTTAGTCATTGTTTACGTTTAGTCATTTTAGCCATGTTGGATTCTACTTCTTATTTATTATAATTTGGATGCGATGTTTTCAATTTATTTCATTTTAGTAACTTTTCGAGACTTTGTTGACCTTTTGATTTGAATCTTTTACACATGTTCATTTTAGTCTTTGTTGAAAGTTTTATTTTGTTTTGATTTTTTTCTTGTTATTTCATGGGTGTTGTATTTTGGTCCATATGGTTTATTTATTATTGTTTATTTATAATTTTAGCATGTAATTTTGTAAATGCTTATATTTTAGTCTTAAATATTTATAGTTTACTTGTATTCCTAGTCTTTGTATGTTAGGTTGCTTATAATTGATCCTCACCATTGTCATGTTTTTTATTTTTTTAAAGTTTCTGATTTTTATTTATAAAATTATATATTTTATTTATTACTATTTAATTTATTATTATTTTAGGATAACATGTTTATATATATATTTGTACTAAAATATACTATGGTATATCTTTTATATCCAAGTTACATGTGTATAATATATATTTTTTTTAATTTTACATATTACGTGTATGTAATAAATTTATATTTATGTTTTTAAATTATTATTTATTTACGAGGTATATTAAGGTAATGTATGAATTAATTTTTTTACATCGATTCACCATTAAGTATTACATATTATTATATTTATGTGATGCATATACATACAAAGCTTAGGTTCTATTTTAAATTAAATTGTATGGTACCCTCACAAGCATTTCTTGATTCGATTAAAACAATTTAACTAAAGGATTATCCGTTTACTTTGAGATTAAGGGAATTGATTGCCTTAAAGAATAAGATGTCACTTTCAATAATCTTAAAATAAAAGGGTATCCTACCAAAAGAAACCCAATTTTTTTTTATTACATTTAAAATTGGGGACCAAGAAAAATATCATGTTCTTTTAATTAAATTAACTGAGAAAAGACTGTTAGATCAAATCTAAGGTCTCGTCTTGATGTATTTAAATAATTGAACATCCTTATTCTCATTAATGGTTGGTAAACTAATTGTATTTGTTTGGTGTATGTTGGTAGTTTTTGTATGTATTTTTAATGGGATTTCAAAAAATAAATCACACTCGAATTAATATTGAGTTTTAGGATGAAATGGTAATATTTCTTTATTTCGATTGGAGTAATAAATGATTGTTTTAAGGCGTGAGAGGTCATTTCTTCTCGATTAGAAATAATTAAATATTAATGTTTTCCCTCTTAAAATTCAAAGAGTGTGTTTTAAAAAGAAAATCTTAAATTTAATTTGTTTTCTTTTATTGTTATTTATGCATTTGAATTTTAAAATTAGTGAATTTTAGGAATGAAATTATAATATTTATTTATTTCGATTGGAGTATGGATTGACTGCTTTAAGGTATGAGAGGTCGATTTTGGTAGAAAGTAAAAATTAAATATTATTGTGTTTCGTCCAAAAGTAAAAAGAATATTTTTTGTATGGGATCTTAAATTAAATTAAAATCAAACTCGTAAATTGCATTGCAAAGACAACTAATTAACCGACTAAGTACTGATTTAGGGCGTTATGGGGGTGCTAATCATTCCCTACGCATAATCGACTCTCGGACTCAAATTTTGGTAACACATTCCATAAATTTGTTGTTTTAATTAAAATTAATATTTTTATTAAAATGACAAATACATTTTTGGGTGCTCAATCACACCATAATAAAAGATTGGTGGTGACTCCTCGAATAAGGTGTTATTATTAAATAGGTCACAAAATTATTCGAGACTAGATCTTGGATATTAGTACCAAGTTTAGGTTTCAAGTATTATTAATTCATAGTTATCGATATGATACCCCACATGAATACTCACATCTTGGATATCAATACTCACCTCACGTACTCATACTATTTTTTAGCTTAAAAGTTTCAATAAATCACCTTGATGTTGATACCTTATCTTTGGTATTGATCTTATGATTAGTATTGATACCTTTAAGAACAATATTGATACTCATAGCCATTCTTGCCCATATTTATTCGTATATTCAAATGATACAAATAACAAATCATAGAAATGATCATTTCTAAGATTGAGAATCACTCTAAAATTCCTCTAATTAGTCTAGTTAGACCTAAGTCAATCTATAAGGCTTACAGGTGTTACTTAGGGTAATTTAACATAAAAATGACACATGTTCAACATCAATAACCATAAATTGATTCTAAAGAATACTTTAGCACTTTAGACACTAAATATGCATACACAACTAACAAAGCATCACATTTAGGAAGCACAAGTAGTATTTCTAAGTTCGAAGTGTACTATCTTATAGCCAAAATCCTGAAATAAAACTCCTTGCTCAACTTCCACCAAGCTTATCATTTCCCTTAATACTAGATTGTTCTTCAAACTCTTACATTAATCAAATAAGTGCAAAATTGATTGCTAACAAGTCTAAGAGATTAGGAATATAAAAACATGCTTAGTATGTTAAAAATGAATTCAAATGATCAGATATAGCTCAAGGGTTCAAAACCCTTCTAAAATCTCTTCTTGCCACATTCATCTTCCATGGAAGATATTGACCTCAATCTCAAGCTCAAATGGCATTGATCATTACTGTTACCTTCACTAAATCCAAGTGAATACAACACAAGAAACTTAGCTCATTTGGTAATTCAAGGATGTTCTTTATCATTTCAGTCAATGTTGTCACATGAGTGGTCTGTGTGTTCAGTCCAATGATGTCCACTACTGTAGCAACACGCCTACCTAACATAATCCTTTTATAGTAGTATTAACTATCGTGGATGGAAATCCTCTCTAAGATATCATAAGTTTCGTTGTAGGACTTGTCTAGCAATACTTCATTGGTAGAATCATCTACAACCATCCTTGTTTGCATGTTAAGCCCATTGTAGTAAGTCTCCATTTACGTCCAATGTTAGAAACCATGCATCGGACATTTCTGTAGCAAATCTTTAAGTTGCTCCCAAGCTTCATAAAGGTTTTCATGTTCTATTTGCATGAAAGATGTTATGTTGTTTCTTAGCCTTTAATTCTTGTTAGGAAGATTGAATCACAACAAGAACTTTTGGGCAAGTTCGTTATATGATGTTGTAGCACCAGGTCGCAGCAAATTGAACCATGCCTTGACTTTGTCGTGAAATGAGTACGAAAACAAATTTCAGCTTCAAGGCCTCCTCGGGCACTCCTTGTTGTATGAATGAGTCACACACTTCCATTAATGTTCGCAAGTGAGATGTAAGGTCCTTAGTGTGTATCCCACTATATTTCCCCATGGATTGTAGCATTTGGAACATCACTAGCTTCAACTCAAAGTTGGCAGCATAGATAGCTAGTCAAACAATGCCAAGATTTAATTCGTCCAAAATGGGCACAATGTGCTCTCAGATTGGCCTATATCTGTCATCAATGTTGTAGTAACCTGACCACACTGGTTCCTTGTGCATAGGAGGAATCCTCTAATTATTTTCCCATTTTTTTGGGAGATACTGATTATCCTCGATTGATAATGGTAGTTCACCATCATTTCCCACTACATTATGATTCATGTTTGGATGTCGTTGATTTTTCTATCTTCTTTGGTGAAAAATTCTCTCTATCTCTGGATTGAAATGTACTAAGTCCCAGTTATTGCTGCAGGTCATGCACCAACAACACCCTTTTAAAAGCTACCTACAGAAGTAAAAACAATGTTAGTAAATAAAAGAAAATAACTCTAAATGTAATGACACTCATCCTTGGCAACGACATAAAAAACTTGTTTCTTCGGTTAATACTACAATAAACAATGCAAGAGTACACTATTATCAAGTAGTAAAAGTGGATACATGTAATACATCGAGTCTCGTATCTACATGGATTAGTATTACTTCATAGAATTGTTATGTAACAAACGTAAAATTGTGTATAGTTGATATAGGGAGCAATACTGTAGCAATGTAATTAAAAATAGAATAGAATAAATGTGATTACACCATAAGTAAATGGAGCAATGATTGATTTAGGTAAAAGTTTGTTAAATATCAAACAACAACTTGCAATTAACAATGTTGTTACTAAGAATGTTACGACAAAACAATTAGCAAAAATATCTTTTATACTAAATGCTGCTGTCAGAAACGCTGATGTTATTTATGATGTAACCTACTCTCACAGCTATACTGGTTGGTTTATATCTCTACAAACAATAAAAAATTAAACTCAATCAACACTAATCAATAATACTAAGGCAAAGTGAATAAACATGAAATTCATAAAATATCCAAGTTTAACATCTCAACATAAAATAAAAACAAACTTCCCGTCCAAGTATTGTATTCTCTAACCGCTTATTGACTCAAAAGTTGATGTAGATTCGACCTAACAATCCAGTCCATCAGTAGTGCACATCAAAGACTACAACATTAATAATGTCACAACATTAGTATAACAATTTACAATAAAAACATTGAAATTAGACCAATAACAAGTCACTCACAATATGCAAATGGTGTAAAATATGCTAAAATAAATCTAATTATGATTTTAAAAATGCTAAAGTAAAAGCTTAGCTTAACTAGAAAGACTAAATAATAACTCTCTTGGAGAGTTGTCAATAGTGTCAAAACTTGTGTTCATGGATGAAAAGTGTATGACAAAGCATTACAAAGAAGACGCATATGACCTGAAAATATGAAAGGGGCAACAAAATGATGACAATTCAGTCTACACAAAATCAAGCTTTCATCAGGATGTCATTATTTAGAGCAAATAAAAGAACAATTGTTATAAAATAAAAAATGAAAAATAAATAAAAATAAAAATAAAAAAATAAATGAGAAAGAAATAAGAAAGAAAAAGAACAAAAGTGAAAACTCAAAAGGTCACTTTAAGAAAAAGAATCTAAGGTGAAAAACCTGAAAGGGCGCTTTAGAGAGAATAAGGTGGAAACCTGGGGAAATGCAAGGAAATGTTACATTTGAGTATGAAGTGATGTTCGAAGAATCAAAGATGAGGAATCAACAAAGAGAATAAAGCAAAGATTTCAGGATAGTGGAGTTTGCAACACTAGAATGATGTCATGCATGAATTTAGGCATTTAAAATAGGAGTATACACATTCATCTTTATCAATTTTGAATGTTTGACAAGAATTCAAAAAGTCATCAACAATTTTTCTGTTGAGTTAATCAAAAGGATGAAATAGCCAAGTGGGGTGAATTGGCAATTAAAATTTTGGTGGAAGCTTAAAAAATGAGAAATTGAACACAAGAATTTAGAGTGGTTTGACTTTCTAAACCAAGTATACATCCACTACCTTAACTATCCACACTAAGGATTTTTAAAAATTAAGTAATATTATCAACCTTTGAGGACAATGTGTAACCTTACGACTCCCTCAAGAATACACCCCAAATTCTTGAGAACACTCAATCAAATAGAAAATTACAAATTTGCAAAACTTGCAAACTTGGAAAACCCTCACAAGAAAAATGTTTACACAATTCAAGAACAAATAAGAACACTAAAAAAATAAAAAAAGAAAGTACAATAATGTTCTTTGAAAGAAAAAAAGAAATTCAAGAATGTTGACTTTGATTTTAGCTCAGTGTGGTTGCTTTGCCTTTCTTTTTGATTTGTTTTCACATATGGCTTGGAATATTGTTTTTTATCATCTCATTTGGGTTGTTGTGGGAGTTAATAGAGCTGTAGGGATGAAATTTACTGCAATAAATGCTACCCAGACGCCTTGAGTATCGACACTCAGGCTTGGAGTATCAGTACTGCCTGCATTAATTACAAAAATATATTCGTTGGTGAAAGGGGAGTATTGATACTCTAATGTGAGTATTGATACCGGTATCGATACTCTGAGTAACATTTCCAATACATGTCACTGATATGATAACTTTTTACTTTTCTAAATCCATTACAGAAGGAGATGGAGTAACATTTCTAATAGAGAATTCATAATATGAAGAACTCGATCACCAAGGAAGAAGAAGTTCATATAGGAGAGCTTGTTCAACCTCAACATGGCCTTATGAGAGAATATGGAGATTATATAGGAGAGCTTGTATACTCTTTCTAGAGAGGAAAAAGTGACAAGGGAAGAAGAAGTTCATATAGGAGAGCTTGTTCGACCTCAATATGGATTTATAGGAGAATATGAAGCTCATATAGGAAAATTTGTCTACTATTCTAGAGAGGGAGAAGAAGTTCATCATGAGAAGAACTTGTTCAATATTTCACTCAAATACACTTAAGGAGGTTGATCAACATTCAACGAGTGTTCATAATGAGAAGAACTTATAGATCAAAATTCAGTAATTTAGATCAAATACAAATGGTGTGTTCTATCGTTTCTTCATTCTTGGTCCACCATAATAAGCAAACAGGGACAATTGTAATCACTATTTTTGCGCCCAAACAATATATACCATTTTTATTTTTTTATTTATCAAATATAAACCAATTAAAAAATAAAGTCCACTATATTTTCTCAAACATATTACAAAATCAAATAACCCTAAACCTAAAAGTAACAATCCCCTACCCAAACATTAGAAACCGAACCTAAATATTATTACCGCTACCTCAAATTCCAGCCATTGGATCACTCTCCAATCAATGCTCCAGACCGCTCACAGCTAGAGTTTACGAAACCCTAGAGCAAACTAGAATAGCCTCATTTGCCATTTATTCATCTCTCACGTGATAAACTTCTCACAAAACAGTTGTCCCTTCATCCATAACAGCAAGTGTGAGCCATCCAACTATGGTCCCTAGCCCACAAGAAAGCCACGACCACCAACTCGATGCCAAATTGATCGATTAAGGCCATGTCAATATCTATGCAAGCAAAAAAATTAAAGAATTGGACAAAAATTGAGATTTTGCCTTTACGTTTTTACACTTGTAACTTTAGTTTGGATTTAAAAACTTAACAATGAAATCATAGACAATTGGTTATTAAGAAATAAAATTTTTAAAAGCAAATATGATTTTCTTGAATATCGCACCCCAATTTTGGGGCTAAAATTTTTCTGATTTTATTTCAGGATTAAATTTGAATTTCAGTTAATTTCAGAGATCAAAATGATTTTTAATTAAATAAGGTCCAAATCAAAAAGTTTCTAAAGTTGGATGACCAATGACATGATTTTCCCATTTTCCATAAATGTTCAACTTAAAACCTCCAAATCCCGAAACTTCCCAATTTAGAAACCCAAAAACCTCTTTGTCTCTTCCTTCTTATTTTTAGAAACTTTCTAGAGAAAATTTCTAATGACGTTTCGTCACTGATCGTTGCACCATTTAGCGTACCACCCATACCAACGTGATCCTTGCATTCTCCCAAGTTCACCATTGTTGTTTTTGATGTCATGAACACTAGCATATAGAGGGGTGAACAACATCAATTTTCTTACGTAGCATAATTAGAGTCTTCATCATTCACCATTATGAACCGAGGTTGGTAAGTTCCTTAAAACGCCTTTAATATAAGAATCCAATGCATACAGTAAAATAGATAACATGCACTCAAAATATAATGTTACTGTTTATTCAGTTCATTAGTTTGCTTTATTTGATCCTGGTTCTACCCATTCATATATATCATAATCTATTTTTAGGGGTTTCAATATCCTTGTTGAAAATACCATGAGTCCTGTGACAATTTAGAGTCGCGTAGGTCTATTCATTGAGTTGGATCAAATTTTTTAGAGGATGTCCTATAAGATCCCTAGGGAAATGTTCTTGGCCGATCTAATGGAGTTGGCTCTAGAAGATTTTGACTTGATTATTGGAATTGATTTGATGGACAAGCATCCAGTTAATCTCAATTGTGAGACCTAGAGAATTGTATTAAAGATTCTTAATAACTGAAAGAAAGTGATGATTAGGGAATATGTGAGTTCTTGACGAATGTATATGATTTGGTAGCTAAAAGATGATAAAAAAGGGTTCTGAAGTATTTCTTGTTTATATTCTGGATACCAGGGGTTCTTGATCTATTATAGAGGGAATCTAGACCTTTAAGGAATTTCCC